GACTTGTCACTATAAAAAGTTTACGGTCAGACACATATCATGCCATTAGCCATGGAAACTTTCGGTATATTTTCCTCGACATTATAATACTATATGTCGACGACCATACTAAACTTTTCCGGCATACATTTGAGCTGTTATATGCTTTCCCTCCATAGTAATCGCTTACTGAATAAATTTTCAAAATTAAACGTGATAAAACAAGGGAAACCATGTAGTGGTAGGTGGCATTATGAATTACAAATAAGCAGAAGTCAAAACGGGGAAAAAAATTGATTAGGTTTGATTTAGGAGCGGTAATTTTGATATCGTCTGATGAACAAGTATTTGTGATGAGCTACGGAGAAACAAAGATTTGCCAGGGAAACCTACTCGAAATATCAGGATAATATTTTTAGCATCACTCACAGAATTCATTGTATGTGCATCCATTGTTGTTAAGGGTTAAATAAATAAAATACATGTAAACTGGACATCACTAGACAATAGTCTAACTGAAAACCAAAAACGTCCTAAGTTGTCGGCGTTGCGTGGAAGTTGTTTCTATGGGGACCTACCTGGGAACACAATGAGTTGGAGGAATTTAATTAATCATGTGTTAAACACGGTCAGTGTTCGGATTTACCAAAAGACAGCAACCAGCAAAAACGAGTTTCTATTTAACCGTCAAACAAGAATTCCCCGACACTTTGTATAACATCACAATACCAACAAACACATAATATTATATTTATCGCTTGTGGCCAGTCCTATTCAAGCGTACAGGGCGCCAAACCGTGATATCATTAATAACTTTTGAATCAGCAAATAACTTGGGTTTTTATTCTATAATTTTTACAGTTTTGGTCTACGTTAAAAACATATTTTTATAATTTGTCTCTAATAAAAAATTAATAAAAATAACTAATCGAGTTAAAAATATTTTAATACATTCAATGGGTATGTAGTTCAGGTGAGTACAGCTCACTCTTGTGTGTGTGTGCCCTCTGCCTGCGCTACATACCCAATTTATATATTAAAATGTTTGTAACTCATCAATACATTATTACCTTGCAGTTGTTAACGACCCATCAAAATGTTTAGCAAGAAAAGAGCTAAAGATTTAAAAATTTTAAAAATTCATTCTTTTCTTATTAGGGACAAATTATAAAAATATGTTTTTAACGTAGTCCAAAACTCTAAAAATTAAAAAAAAAAACACAAAAATATCGCTGGTTCAAAACATGATGAGACATTCTGTTATGAATGTGTTAAAACTTTCATGGATTGTCTTTGTGAAGTCCATCACTCTGAAGATGGACTCTGCAATGAGTCCGAAACGTCAGAACTCAACTGTAAACAACATGGATATATCCTCAAGCACTTCAAGCAACGAGACATTCTGTATTTGTCTAACTTACACCACATTTTTAGTTCTTATTTTATACATCAATTACGATTTCGTATCTTTGTTATACCTTTTGTGAATTTATAAATTGAATTATTCAAAGGGTATTGTAAAGTACAGCACTGAAATAAACGAGAAAGTTAAACTTCTACTTTGGTATACCTTCAATTCACTGACATTAAAATATGTATTATTTATAATAATAAATATGAAATGGGTATTTATTTAAATGATTTATTGCCGTCTACGGAGCATAAATAAAATTTTTATATTCAATATTCTACCTAATGATTGTGAAATATAACATTTATGTTGAATTAAAATTAACAGATTTGATCTATTTAAAAATTCGATAGTTTTCAGTTAAAAATAATATTGACTTAGTTCAAAAATTTTCTAGTTGTGTTATCGAAAATAATGACAGGTTAATATCTTTTGTCGTAGTAGCATTATTTCCGAAAATTCCAATAAATATTACAAGTAGTTTTCTTTAAGACTGACTAAATGAACAAAACAAAAAACAGGATAAAATGAGCTTATTAATTTAACAAAGTTATACATGGGTCAAAATGTTTTACAGTTTCAAAATAAATTTTATGATCAAATTGAGGGCACAGCAATTGGAAATCGCTATTTTTAGTAAAATTTTTCATGAGCAGGTTCGAAATAAATTTTAAAATGTCTATGGAGATATTCCGAAAATTTGGTTTGGTGTGTAGATGATATTTTTGCAAAAATAAACAAAGATTTAATACGGAGTACTTCATATAACATTACAATTTTTTTTAGTTATCAATTAAATTCACGTACAAAAAGAAATATAGAGGGAAAATTAAATTTTTCTTGATTTAATAATTAAAAGAGTAGGAAGAACTAAATGTTGAAATTTATCGGAAATACACACACATTCGGAATAATTCGAACAACACAAAATGGCAGCTTTTAATAGTATGGTTCACAGATTGGTTAATTTTCCAATGAATAAAATAAATTTTGATAAAGAACTATAATAAGAGAAATAGCTAAATTTAATGGGTATAACGAAAACGTAATTTCAAATTTAGTCCGAAAACTTAAGTGGAATAAAGAAAGAAGGGTAGCTAGTACACTTAATAGTGTTGGGGAATAAAAGTAATTAGATCACCGATTTTATATTATTTGAACATTTTCAAATGGACTAGCTAGAATTTTTAAGAATTTTGGTGTTACTTTAGTAACATCTAAAAGTAATAACTTAAGAGATTTATTAGGTAATCCTAAAGTTAAAGTGGAAGAAAGGAGAAATCAGGAATTTATAAAATACAATGCGAAAGTCGTAATAAATGTTACGTAGGACAAACAAAAAGAAATATAGGGGTCAGGTTTAAAGAACACTCGAGAAACATTTAAAATCAAAAAGTTAATATATCTCTTGTGGCTGCACATTTATTGACACACAGTCACTCGATTAAAATCATAAAATTAATTAAAAACATAAATAATTACAAAGAATCTAATAAAAGGCAAGAAATGTTTAAAAATAAGAAAAATTTAATTAATTAATAAACTTGTTAAATGGCAAAATGTGATAATATTATTTAGTGATAACGTCACACAGGTGTTTTCGGTCGGGTTATCAGTATGTGATCAGCATCGATAATTGTAACATTAATCCCGAAATATGTATCCTCGACTTTTTGGTGGTTTTTATGACTTTAGTTACATTAGTTTAATATTTTTTAGTTTTAAATTTTCAGTATAATCTTAATTTTAAATAATTTTAGTCACAAATGATCAGTTTTTATTATGTAGATTAAATTCATACAGAGTAATTGATTTGTTTTATTTATTAATTTGTTTAACTTTATATAAAATTTAATTTGTAATATGTTTGCCGGTAGTTTCATTAGTACCACAATTATCACAATTTTGTATTTTTGTGTTAGTTGCATACATACATAGTATTAATAACATTTCCAATATAAAATACTAAATGAAAAAAAATATATTTAATTTATGTCTCTAGTAGTAATTTAAAAGCCATTGTTAGAATTATAAAATGCTTTGGTGTGAATTTACTTAAGAAAATTCAAATTATATGAACTTATGATTCAATAAATATTTAAAAGATCCACGATTTCTAAAGTATTTTTATTTCTATGAACCTGCTCTCTAAAAATTGAACTAGAAATAAATATATACACAGTCGTTTAAAGTTAGTTATTCTGGACTGAAATTTCAATGATCAATATATTTTACATTATCATTGCCATTAGTAATATTTAATTAAAATTGATTTGTTGTATATAAATTTACCCTCAATTTCCTCAGATAAAGTTTGCATTGTTTAACTAAGTATTTTTCGTCATTAACATATGATCTTTTATATATTTTTAACGAAAGAAATCATTTTAAATTTTCAATAATATACTAAAATCTATTTTAAGTTATTAAAGCCAATGTATAAAAATGTAAGAAAGACTTGTCAAATTAAATATCAAAAAAAAAATCATTATTTGCTGATACGGATAAATTATTAATAAATCGATAACTTTTGCAATCTATTATATAATTAAAAGTTAACAATTAGATGCTGTGTTATAAAATATGAAACTATTATTATTATTATGTTTCTATTATTTAATATAAAAACTCGTTTAATTGTATTATACAAAGTTTTTCAAGTTTTTTTATTGTGTGTAGATTATTTTATTTTATTTTTTTAATTTTAGAATTTAAGTAAAATATATATTTTTAGTTGAAGATATTTTGTATTTCATTTATTTTTAAATTTAATGTTTTATTATGGATGTTTTTCTTTATTAAACATTGTTTATAAAGTACTTAAAATTTATTTTAAATAAATAACTGCAAGATTAAATTTGTTTACCAAATAGCATAACTATAGAGATTTGACAATTATTTATTTCATGGATATTATTAATAAGTAGTTTATATTATTAATGACATGTAATTTGTGCTTAATACATTATATGTCATTAAGTAAGCAATTCATTGAAAAACGCGAAGAAAACAACAACGCCCTCTGTTTTAATGGAACACTATAATAGTATAAACTTAATAAATATCTAGATGTCGCTAAACGATCTGTTATGAATTTATTACGAACAAATAATATATCAAAAAATTTAAACTTTGTATTTGTTGTAAGAACTTTTTCGTATATTATAACAGTATAAATAAAGTAGTGTATTTTATAGTTTAATTATCATCATAAAGTTTCTTAATTAACCTAAAATTATATAGTTGTATATGAATTGTTTATCGATCAATTAATATACAACTTTTTACTTATTAGAAGAAATACAATGCTGTATGAAAATAATCATTAATAATAGACATTAATATCATAATATTTTAATAAAATAATATCTATAATCACTTACTATAGTTTTTAAAAAAATTATATCATTGGCGCTCTCTGCTGGTGTTTTATGTCAACCGACTAAATCATAGAATTAATATTGAAAACATATTATGCAGATCAACTTGTTCACACCATCAGTTTTATAATATTATTAACTCAAAATTAGGACGTAAAATTAAATACATATATTCATAAACGTTTTATTTAATTCAACTATTTGGATATTATTCCGCCTTTGTAAATATCGGGGCAGATCGCTATCACCCGAAAGATTTGCAAAGTAGGCAAATCCTTCAAGGGGACGACCTATACCCCCCCAAAAATTAGTTAACAGTTCATGGACTGCAAAAGCCAAGCGTCACCAAGGCTCGTAAATTTTCCTTACTCATTAGTTTAAGGCACGAAGTTAGAAGTGTTGCGTTATTGCTAATGAAGTATTATCAGCCAGCCAACCCAAAGTAGAAATAGAGTAACATGTGCGCCTCATATTCTTTACATAAATTACGACAATCTATAACAGACTATCCAGTACGTTTAGCGTGCTGATAAAAATACTCATATGACACGTTAGCGTAGTTTAGTCGGTAATTTGGTGATAAAAAAAAAACGTACTGCACAATTCATCATAAAATTTCAGGTGGTGGGACCACCGCCATCTAGCGACATCTATTATAACAAAAGCTGTGCAAAACTATTGTGTTCCATCGAAATGCATTGTATTGTCGGGAAAATGTAACACTAGAAACATCAACAGCTGCATGTTTAAAAAACAAAATTATACGTATACATGTATCTATAGAGTCGAATGAATTAAAAATCAATATTTTGCGTTAGTTTGTGCAGTCCTTTTTACATTACTGGATAAATCAAGACTTTTTTTGTTCTATTTATATTTACTTTAAACTAAAAAAGTATAGTTCGTTATATATTTTTATTATGTTTTATTATAAACTTTTTAAATAAGTTAAATAAGAAGTTCATTATTCAAAACTTATTACGAAAAACAAAAGTATTTTTAAAATGACATATTAATTATATATAGCACACTATCGTCAGAAAATTTAAAAAACGTTTAATTTCCCATATTATTTATTGTTATTTAAGCAAGTGTACTCGTATATTTACTTTAAAATAAGAATTATCAAAGTCTAATAAAAAAAAAAAAGAATTACACAATTCGTACAATTCACAAACAAGATAATCGGTTTTATAGACAGATTTATTATTTTTGTCGATACAAGATAATTTTAATTAAAGCGTAATTTATGGAATAATTAAAAAAAGTGGTGTTGAATATTCAGACTAATTAGTCAAAGCACTGACATTATATCAGTGACTTTTTTAACATATCTGATATTTTTAATATAAGNGTTGACTTTTTTAACATATCTGACATTTTTAATATAAGTACAATCTATAATCATGTACAATATAAATCACTCAAAATTTAAAAAAATATTAATTAATTATATTTTTACCCTCCTCTCTGAAAAAAAATCTGAATACTCTAGTGTTGATATATTTTTAAGTAGAAATTTTTTTATTGTATTTAAATGTTAAAAAAATAAAAGAATCATCATTAACATTATAAATACCAATGTAATATTTAATGAATGTAGTGTATAAAATTGAATTTAAGGCCTTGTAAAAATAATAATAATACTCTAAAACATCCAGGATTTTTTAAAATTTGGACCGATTTGTCATTTTCTTTTAAAAAATAGTCCTTTGAAAATTGTGGGTAGATCAGTTTTATATCAAACGATCTCTAGAATTCAGATGACCCAGACTCTCGTATTGTGTCCTTATCTATAAACCCAACCCGACCATAGCCTCTTTTTCTTTTTTTTCTATTAACCATTTGCCGTATCGATGACCGATTTAAAATCATTACTATTATTTTTTTTTCAAAATACACGTGGTGATTTATTGTTTTAACTTGTCCCTCAGTTACGTGAATGAGAAATACCGTATAATTTTAAAAAAGATTATGATCGGCGTGGTCTGAAATTGACTGAACTGAGAAAACATTGCGTAAAAGTATGTTATTAATATTACTAATACGTCTATTATGTACACATTACGGTAAACGTCCTACGCCGTTTGTATCGGTGTAATATATTTACATAATTCACACTCTATAGCTAACCCCTGTGATGAACTGTTTTATAAAAAATAGTGTCGTACCACTGGAGGCCGTTCTTAAATTTGTGCGTTGTCGAGATAAACGTATTGATAAATTTCAAATTATTGGCTATTATGAGATATAAAATAAATCACTTAAATAGCCAACCTTCACAAAGCAATAACAATAAATTCTTAAACGACTTGAATTAGAATGGTTATTGCCAAAACATTTCAAAGTGTAATCGCGCAAAGATAGCAGTAACCTTATTACCATTAAATGGCACCACTTCAGAGTTCAATTATAACCTGCAAATGCAATATAACAGCAATGATTTTCGCACCGCTAGATAGCGTATGAGATATGCGAATAATTCATTACGTCGATTATTAACCGGAAAACCAACTAGATAACTTCTACTACTCAACACAGTATATTACACGAAAACCTTATGACCTTGACGTAAAAAACCATACACCTAACACGTTGTACACGGTTTGAGTTTATATAGTGCAATGGTACCAGGGTACCATACTCGCATCAATCGGCCAAAACAGGTAAACGGCCCGTCAAAAATGTTACCTAAATATTAAATACAAATTAGAGATACAATTTTTGTTTTTAAGAGTTCTTTTTTGTTTTCTGTAGGGTAACAATATTATTTAATAAAAGATCTAACATGGTTATAAGCGATTATCATGTTTAATTGTTAATTCAAACCAGTTAGTGTCCGCCGACAAGGAGCGACTAGTGTAGTTGTAACTTATCAAACGCATCAAACATTTTTAGGAAATTGTGTTTTTATTTAGAGATCTTGTGTAGACACTGCGTAAATGAAATCAAGAAAATTCCTAAAATTTAATAAAAAAATGTTTTTAGTGACATTTTAATGTTTACTGACTTACAAATAAGTGTAGCGTGTTTTTATTAAATTATGTCTCAATACAGTTTTTTATTCACTCTTAACGTTTTGGTATTTCAGTTGATGACTACATGAGAAATTTTTACTGTTATAATTCTTACGTCAAATATAAAATTTCAAATTTTGTTCCTTTTCCCTAGCATTTTTTAAGAAAAAAAGTGTTCCGTCTTAACATATAAAATACATAAAATGTATCTTAAAAAGTTAGTCAATTTTACTAACTTTTTTATTATTACTGTAATAACTTTGTTCAGCCATTAAAAAAATATATATATACACCAAACTATCATAAGAGTTAATAAAAAATTATTAATTAAAACGACTATTATTCAGCCAATTTCACAAAATTTCAGTTAAAAAAATAGTTTTGTCATACAATTTATCATCCTATTAAATTGATATAAGAAAGAAAGTGATATTTTAACTATAATATATATTTTAACAGAACAGGGGCTTATAAGCATGGAAAAGTATTCTCTACACTATTACAGTCTGTCGTCACTATATTAACCATTTAAGATATAATTGATAAAACGTTTTGGTACCATTAACAATATAGTTTGTTAATACTATTATATAATTTCGTCCGTGTACCAGGGTACTATATTTTTTTCTCCTGTTTCTGAAAAGATACATAAGGTTAATTCGACTAATAATAATAATGGCAGTTCTAACAATAAAGATATAGTAAATTTAACAACAATAAATTGTTTGTATTATCATGGTACCTTGTTTATGTATCAGGAGTCTATGTTCCTGTAACACTATGTTACTGTGCTTTATTTACATAATTATAACTACACTAGGTAATTGAATCACTAATATCTAAACTTTTACTGTAATCAAAAGAAATAACGTAAATAATTGTGAGTAAAAATGGGTTATAATTTATTCAATGACTCCGTTTCAAAAATCTAATCACCACATTGCAATTAATAAATTTAATTTCCAATATTTTGCTCAATTAAGATGATTATTTAGAGAAAATTTTAATTTGCTTATTTAAACTAATAAAAATAATATAATTAAGCTGATTAAATATTCAGTGACAATTAATTCAGATGTCATATTTATATAGCTCACGATTTTATCAATGTAATTCTTGTTACATTTTACAAAGTTTTCAATGATTACAACATTTAAAGAGGTCAAATGAATTGCCAAAACTAGAATTATAACGTTTAGTCCTTGTAATTAAATTTGTGTTTATACATTTTGACACATGCCTAAATATTATATGAAAAACATTAAACATAATGGTTGTTTCATTGGGCGACTTAATTTTTTTATACGATAAATTTAAATTGTGTTTTACTTGGGAACCATTGACAAAATATAACATAATTTATTAAAATTTATACCGTATTCTACATTTAGATCCAATTACATTTTTATTAGTCATAACTAAGAGTATAAGATAACATGACATATTAGTTATATATAGCACACTATCGTCAGAAAATTTAAAAAACGTTTAATTTCCCATATTATTTATTGTTATTTAAACAAGTGTACTCGTATATTTACTTTAAAATAAGAATTATCAGTCTAATAAAAAAAAAAAAAGAATTACACAATTCGTACAATTCACAAACAAGATAATCGGTTTTATAGACAGATTTATTATTATTTTCGATACAAGATAATTTTAATTAAAGCGTAATTTATGGAATAATTAAAAAAAGTGGTGTTGAAAATTCAGACTATTTAGTCAAAGCACTGACATTATATCAGTGACTTTTTTAACATATCTGATATTTTTAATATAAGTACAATCTATAATCATGTACAATATAAATCACTCAAAATTTAAAAAAATATAAATTTATTATATTTTTTTAACCCTCCTCTCCTCTGAAAAAAATCTGAATACGCTAGTGTTGATATATTTTTAAGTAGAAATTTTTTTATTGTAATTAAATGTTAAAAAATAAAAGAATCATCATTAACATTATAAATACCAATGTAATATTTAATGAATGTAGTATTTAAAATTTAATTAAAGGCCTTGTAAAAATAATAATAATACTCTAAAACATCCAGGATTTTTTAAAATTTGGACCGATTTGTAACCGTATTCTACAATTTGATCCAATTAGATTTTTATTAGTCATAACTAAGAGTATAAGATAACCGACTAGGTCAATCAACAAGGACACTCGTAAATTTTCTTAGTAGATTTTTTGGCTATTAATTTAAAGACTCAGTTTTCAGTTATGTCATTATCCTAAATTTTTTACTATTCCTCGAATAAGTTGTTTGGCTGTAACCAAAACTTAACGTCCAACAGTTAAAATGTCTAGTATTATTTTATTAACTGTTTATGCAAAGTTCTTTAAAAAAATATATGTAAACATTTTCTTGGGAATTAAAATATTCATATTAAATAATTCATTATTTAAAATAAGGTATTATATTTGTATTAAAATAAAAGTCGTTAAATGAAAAACTTGATCGACTGTTCATAAAACGTGAATTTTGAGAGGAAAAATATTACCCGCCTTGTTTACAACACTAAAACTTTTTGCATTTAAAGTCTCCTTGAGTTTGTTGTTTAAGCAACCCCATACATATAACTTGCTATGATCTATTGACTCGACTTCAAGGTTCAGAGGTTATAATTCAAATTGTAATTACTATTTTAAATTTTACACTCGATGAGTGGTGTCTTACCTGAACGTAGTTAGATATTTTCGTAATGATTACTTTTACTCAGGAAAAAACTACGCCTATTGCTTACCTGGAGTGCGATTAAATCTTCGCTTGAGATAATTAAGGAACCGCACTGTAATTGATAAGTTCCGATGCCTTTGCGATCTCCTCCGCCCGTCTGGATGCTGCTGTGATGAGGTTTGCTTAGCTGAACTTGGCCCTGCTCCACTTCCTCCACTTGGTGCACCACTCTGCTGATTGTGGTGATGTTGTTGCGATTGATGTCCATGTTGTTGGGCTTGTTGTCGTTCCCGCCGCTCTCGGCCATAATTTTGGTGGGCCACTACGCTGTACATTACACCGTCTAAGTTTAAATCATTCACTCAAAGATCTGGAACACATTAATAATAAACATTATTTTCATAATATGAAAAACTAATAAAAAGTTGTCAATCGTTGTCATTTATATTATAAAATATTTTTAATATCGCTATTACAAAACAAATAATAGAAATTTAACTATGAAAACTGATCTCCTTAATCATTGGCTCAGTCGCGGATCCAACTTGCACTAACAACGACGTTTTAATAATACATATAAAAAGTGAATATTTTATCATAATCCACTCAATTACTTACAGAATAAATATAATTTAAACATTTTTATTTTTGGTTATCTTTAGTTACACATTTTTCTTGAGCTATTAACTATGTAATACATTTTAAGTATCTGCTGTCAATTTTGCCTATCAATAGTTATACTTTCTGTATTGCCAGTTAGTGTATTTATTTCACAACAATTTGTCGTACTATCATTGATAAGAAATGCTGTGTACCTGCGAATACCGATATAATAAAAAACCAATTAGCTACTTGTATTTGTAATCCCTCGTGTATTATACATGTATATTGACTCAATAATTTGAAACTTTAAATGTTTATATCTTATAAACTAATAAAGTTCTATTAAAAATTCAAATGCCATTTACTATTACATTAAAAACTCAAATATTTTATTAAATTCAAAATATGTGTTGCCATTTAAAAAAACAAAGTTGACACCCTTACGAGGCATAAGGGGTGAACTTAAAAAGTATTACACAGTTAATAGTTCAAGAGAAATGTGTATATATTTATTTACGTAATTTGTAAATGATGAGAGTCAACTATGAGTTTATTACTAAATGTGTTATGGGAATCTTAATATATTTAATCTAAACCATTTTGTCAATATTACTAAATAATTGATTTGTAGTACTAGGGCCCATAATCAGTTTTTTATAATTTTAGTATTTTCAAAAGGAGCTTTCAATATTTATTTTGTCGTTAAGACTAATTAATTGAAAAAAAAAAAAAGTTTTATTAATCATTTAACAAAGTTTTTTAAAAATGATTGATAATAAACGAGAACTGGGTTTCCGTCATTTTTTCCGCATAATACTCGTTTTATGTTAACAATAACGGTATTTAGAATTTTATGTGGTACGTCCAGATACTTATTAATATAACACATATTCTCCATAAACTTCTATTTTGCATAAGAGTTAATGTACTCTTTATTATGAAATCATATCAAATGATCTTTCACAATGTTAATGTGAAGGTAAATGATTACCATGTCCAACGTACTAGTTGATATCGTAATGTACATAAAGTAATTAATATATTGAGAAGTTGTGATGTATGTATTACATCTAATCTAAATAGTGAATGTAACTGTTTTGCATGCACGTTAACTATAATTCCCGTTAAATTATTTTATTAATGATCTAAGATAACAATTTGCGTAGGTATTTCATCTTGAAATAATGTAGAGATTTCAAAAACGATTCGGTCGATCTTCCTGATAACGTTTACGCCGAGAGCAAAGGTGTAACACAAAATGTTGTAACAGCCGATGAAAAATAACTAAATAGGTAGTTAAACTTTATAATAATTATAATAATCCACTTAATTCAAATTTAGATAAAGAGTGTATTTACTCAAAAACATTTAGCAGACAAAATAGGGCCATAATTTAACGATATTTTCGCCCATCATATCAGTTTTCACTCATTGAAAATAAATGTAAGTTAGAAAACATTGTCTACATTGTCGAGTATATTATGTGTACTAAAACTAAAATTTGGTTAAACAACCTTAAAAATCGCCTAACAAGGTAGGTCGTTGTTTGTATAAACTATGTTACTCGATGCGTTTAGGCGAAACTGTGTGTAACTACACTAGATGATAGTAGTCCATGGACATAAGTTCTATCTTTTAGAATGTCTTTTGTCAAACTTTGCCTTGTTTTGATTAATGATCTCTACACTGTTATTTATTCACATATTCAGATCATACTACACGAGTGACTCTTTTGTTGAAAATATAACAGTAAGATTGATTAAATAAATATTTTGTAAATAATTCTAAACCAGAAAAAATAGATGGAAGTATTTTTTCATCATTGTTTTCATTAAATGCTTTAGGAATTTTTTGAGGAAGCTGATGTATTTAAATGGTAATTTATTGTATTGAAACACACAAGTAACTAAAATAGTTTTTGACCAAAAGAATATGAACTTACTTAATTTGAAACTTAAAAGACTGTTAAATAAATATTCTTAACAGTAAAAAATATGATATTATACAGCCATTTATTAAAAATAAAACTAGTGGTTAAAGGAGAAAAAACTGTTGAGAGAATTAAGAATTTAATGAAAAAGTATCATCTTTGATCTCATACAGTTATTAGATTTTACAGAGTTGATCTAAAAGAGACGTCTACTTTTTATTAAAGTAAGAGAATGCTGTTTACCGTTTTCTTCAACCTCACTTAAATAATTTATTGCATTTATAGTAATCTGTTAACGCAAAATAATAAAAAAAGTAATGAATAAGGAGGAATGCTGTTACATGATTTCATCGGTTTTGAGTTAATTTGAATGTATATTTACAATAGTGTTCAAGATTTAAAATTAAAATATACACAGTTTTTTTTGTCAACCGTTAAATAGAAATATATATATTTTTTAATTAAATTAAATTGGTGAATACCGACAGTTTGAAATAACATTTTGTACTAGTCGTAGACATTTGTTGTAGTTCAAATTTCTACGAGTTAAATCGTTCAACAATTAACAATGTAAAGGCAAAGCTTTATCATCAGCTTTATTAGCAACTAAGTAATAATAACTTAAAAAAAATAAATATAAGAATTTTCATAGACATATGAAAATATTATAAAATTCCATTACACGTAACAAAAATTCGATAAAACTTAAAAACATAATTTAATAAAATAATACTTTTCAAACAAATATTTCAAAATTTCTATTAAATGAATTATTGTCACTTTGAACGTATTGCACGCATTTTCTTATTATAATATTATTTTTAATATCAAAATCTATTTTATATGTTTATGAACTAAATCGATTACGATGTGAAAAAATAGCGTAGTTTCTTAATGAGGCAATACAGTTAAAATGAGGTTTTCTTAAAAGGTAACTGAATCAACAATCAATCAAATGCGTTTCGTGGATTTTGCGTACGATTAACAGATTCATCTGCATCGGCGAATGTTATTCAATTTACTTTATTTGTACGGCTAAAGAATGGAAATGATTTTAGGATTTCAACGAAACTCGTTCGTGAGTGTTGCAGTTACAATGTATTTTAATGTGGATTGTGTGTTTTCATTTAAAGTTTGTGCAAAATGCCTGAGGCCAACAGTATTACAGTCAACGGGCGTGTATCCCCTTTCCCTATGGCAAGTGGCAGCTGCAGGAACAGCAACTGTCTACGGTTCATTGTCACACAAGGCCATAGATTCGTCGGTGAAAGGCAAACTTGGGTACACTCATAGTTTTTCTGGACCTCTATGAAGCATAATATACTTGTAATCTGGTGTGATTTTAATGAATAGCAGTCAAAACGACCGACTTTAATACTTTTATCAGATAATTTAATATCAAATGCGCAATGTACCACAAGTCCGGTGGTTTTTTTTTTTTTTGTACTATTAATCTAAAAATCCCAGTTTTTCCCTTCCATATTAGTCTCGACCTCCGCACCGAGGACAATATATTGTTCGCTTATAGGTAAACAATAACCAATATTAATTTATTATATAGATCACAATTCAAAGTATTTCAACGATTCCGCTGTGTTTATTAGTTTTTTTAATTGTCAAGTGCCGCTTTTGTCTCCATCAAGGATGTCGAGTAACTTAATAGCCGTGGACGGCTATTTATATTTATATTTTAAAAGGAAGTGCATTCAAATGTAGAGCGACATTGTTATCGTTCGTTTTATCAGTCACATCATTATTTCCTATATATTTTTTATGTACATATTGTCAATATGATTTTCATATAGCTGTATTATACATTTTTAGGTCATACAAACGAGATTACATAAAAAGAAAATACACGATAATACAGTTGCACGCCTTATAGTTACCGAATGCGTTTCTGAAAATCTCTTTAAGTACTTTCATTTAAATTTAACGAATGCTACATGAGCTCAATATTTGAAGAGTCATTTTAATCTATTAAATTTCAACGTTCAATAATACAAAAATCGTTCTGAGAATAATAACGACTATCAGAACGAATTTGCACTTATACTCATTATACAAAAAATAATAGCCAATTAATTAAAGTACCAGTTTAATTAAATAAGTTTAATTAAATAATTAATTAAATAAATAAGTAAAGCTTAATCAAATTTTCAACATAAAATTTACAAGTGTTTATTAATAAGCATTTATAAAATAAATAAAACAATGTTAAAAAAGTACTAATCTTGTTTCGACCTCCGACTGTAAAAAATATCGTAGAAATAATTATTGTAAAATAAATAAATTTACTAAAACACAAAATAGCCAAGAAAATAATTAACTGAGTAAATATTGTCTGTTGGTTCTATACATATATTTATGACTTTTATTAATAGGTATTCAATAAATGTATATATTTTTACATACCGTTTATTTGTAGGTGTATATTTTTAGGTTTATATTGACCCCCATACATCACACGAGGGTCAATATTATAGGTCAAACAATTCATTTCGTGATTATTAAGAACTTGTACTTTAGTTTTTATTATTACAAAAATATTAATTACACTCGATCAAAGCATAAAATCATCAGATTTTTATTATCATAAAAATCTCATAAACCATTTTTTAAATGTAATAATTACTAACTGGCAGGATGAACATTTACTTTCTCTGACGTAATATGCTGTTCTTGTACAAATTTTAAAAGTATTTTTGCACTCTTTACAAATTATTAATTTTGTACTAACTACTTTGTATAAATAATTATGCGAACAAAATCAAGGACCACTCATGCTCCAGGTCTAAAACCTGGTTTTCTCCTTCTATTTACTTTTTTTTAATACT